TGTAGAGAGATCAAAGAACTAAGTAAAACATACAAAACTGTTTCAAGATAACAAATGGCACCTGAAAACAGATGGCAAATGCCAGCAAGGTTGAATTTACGTACACACACAGAGAGAAGAGGGAGAAAGAGGGGGGCAGGAAGGGAGGGAGAGAGAGAGAGAGAGAGAACCTCCTGCACAGCAACTTTAATTGCATTTTCCCAGTTTTGAGGTTCTGCAGTCACTGTAAGAGAGGTAACAGTACACCCCTCTCTTGCTGAATCACTGTGGTCCAGTTCCACTGAGGTAAATGGGGGGTTTGAACTCTGAAATATTCAATCAAAACAACATCAGAAGCCACTAAACATTGAATTCAAAAAGTAATTTGTTTTGTCAGTATATTAGCAGCAGAATCCAAATGGGAACAGAAGATGTGAAACAAAGAGAATTTGATTCCATTTTGGCCCTAACAAGTACGCAAAATTCACATGGGAGTATTTCCAAACATACATGCCTTAAACTTTCCATAACATACCTCTTGTTGCAAAAGTTCTTATTTTACGTGTTGAGAAAGAAGACCATCGTATTTTATAAAATAGCATCTCGTGTTACTTCTTTTACTTTATATTCAATTATTGATTAAAAAAAAAACATGCAGAAACAAGATTTGCCAGACAAATTCATCCTTGCACCAACGCCAACTAATGTGGAAAATGGCGCACCTGATATCTTGTATTAATGCGGAAATGCAAAGCAGAAAGAAATATCCTCTTCATCAGCACCATCCGCAAATCTCTGTAAGTACGGACCTTGTTAACAGGTATCTGGAAAAAAAAATATGCATTATGAAATAAATAATCATAAAAGAAAAATAATCTGTTACATCTTTTAAAGAAATAGAGCTCCAAAATAATATCAAATAAGCACAATCACTGATGGTACCAACTAGGAAATTACATAGGGAGAACTACTAGATGCAATTCAAAGGTATGAAGTTGGTTCAATTGGAATGAAACAAATAGTGGGCTTATATCCATATGATGGCCAACATTGAGTAACTGAAGTGTATAAATGCTTCAACTTCCAACTAACAAGGAAATTAAATCCTTCCCCGCCTGAAGTCCTTCACAAACACTTGAGTTAAAGATTGTTCATACGAGACAAAATACAACAGATACTTTCAAATGTATGAAATGTTCTCTTGTTGATTCACCGTGAAATTCGATCATATTATGTAGATTCAAATCAATCATATGTAAAATATAATCTGCACACAGCTCATCATCAATGAGCTTTCAACAAAATGGCCCTTCACCTCAACTTCATTAGCAGGTGAAATAAAAACTGAAAATGCACAAAAATATCAAATCATACATGTGCACATAAATTTAAGACACTAATAAGCTATGGTATAGGTGAAGACTATAGCTCACAAAATGAATCAGCAATATACACGCAAAGTAATAGACACTTTTACTGTTTTAAGCTATTCCATTACCAGCCACTAGATCAACTTTGCACATGCTTCTTAGCAAAATACTACAACGAAGTTCCAATTTCAAACTATAAGCTGACTTGAAGTATTCTTCCTTAACGTTAACCTTGTCCAACTAAACAATTATGTCGAAACATATAATGGTTACAAATAAAAGGATGCTTTCTGATTCCAATAGCAGCTAAAACCCAACACACAAAAATATAAACAATTACGAACATGAAAAGGAAAAGGGGAAGAAATTCTTTCTAGGAAACTATAATAGAAATTTGAACAGAGAAGCTCCAGTAATGTGTAGAAGACTGAGCAAAATGTTTAGTGCCAGAAAGAATAACCTTGCAGAACATATTAATCGAGAAATGCTGAAGCAACTCATGCTGAAATATCTGAGGAGGCTTTGCATCTGCATAGCTTCCAGGAAAGGACCAATCATGTTGAACAGGAGGGCGTACAGCATGCCTTTCCTTTCTAAAATTTTTTGATTGCTCGAAAGAACCAAGTAGTTTTTCCTGATTTAAACCACTAGAAAGCCCAACTGACAACTTAGGAACGAGAAAACAGGCCATTGCACCAAAAGCACTAGTTGTAGGTGCAACAGATGCCTCAGTTTGTGTGCCAGTCTGCCCAAAAACTGCCTGTGAAATTCTTGAAAATTTAAAATTAATTCAAAAGTGACAGTATGAGAAAATTAAATCAGACAAAAAGTATAATATTGTGTCAGGTGTCACATGTCAACACCGTCTCGAGACAGTTAGGAAGCAATTGGATATAAATTATTTTCAATTTTTGTCTCGCTGAATAGTTCTTTTCATCGGAAATACGACGAGATACAATTTTTTAGAAAATAATAATAATAAAATCATCAAGTCCCACTTTTATCTCCACAATCTTATCAACAAAACTAAATAAAAAAAAAA